CAGCCAAGTGTAGGCACTTGTTTGTTATGCTAAAGGTCAAAGAGAAGGGGAGTGCTGATGGCAGCTGGATTCAACTTTTCTTACTGCAAAGGAAGAGGGTAGAAGGATAAGAAGATACAGGGAAATCTGGGATATCAGAACACGTGTTTTTGTGTAGTGCTTTCAGAAAGCTGGCTTTTAATCTGAGAGATATAGAGAGCTCTACATGATTTTAAACAGAGGAGGCACATAATTTGACCATGTAAATGTAAAGTTGGGGATACACAAAATCAGCATAAGTGGGGAAAAGCCCTGCTTTTTCAAAAATCTCTATCAAGCATTTACACAAACTATGGGGAAAAAATGTGGAAGAAAAACAAAGAAGAGCAGTATAACAATTTCATAGCATTCTGGAATGCATTTCAGTGATAGTAATTTCAGGTTTGCATGAAGCTATCCTATGCACCTAAGGGAACATGATCAAGAAATCTATAGAATCAAGACTCTGAGGGAAGACACAGTCAAGATGAAACTAAACTGTAAAAGAAATCTAGGGAGGAAAATAATGGATTATAACTGGACATAGGTTAGATCTTGTTCTAATGGAAGAATAGCCCTTAGGTGGGATCAGCCAAATCACTAAAGAGAAGTTATAAAATATTTGCTTGAACTGAGAATGATTTTAGCAGATAGATGTAATACTTTCATATCTTTCACTGTGACAGATCTCAGAGAGTACAACACAGAGAGAAATACATGAGTACAAAAATGTTTGGGTCTGAAAGCAGAGAAGTAATAAAAATAAAAAATAAAGGAGGAAGATAAATCTATTTTACCAAAGCAATAGTTGAAGTGGTAGAAAGTGACAGATCTCTTCTGAAAGGAGGAATACAATAACTAAGAAAATTCAAGCATAATAAAGAGGGGGAAATGTAAGCATCGATCAATCAATCAATCAGGCAGAAGATCAAGAAACTTTATAAACTGAAGTAATAACACATTATTTTGCTCTCAGTAAGATGCAGATTTCTGAAAATCCCATAAGAATACAGTTTTCAGAAACATTAAACTCAATTTTAGATTCTGAATCAGTTAAAGATACATACCAGGTGAAACAGGGTGAGGTTTGCAAAGATGCCAATAAATAATACTATCACAAATAAAGGTAATTCTGTTGCAGCACTGGATTCAAAAATTGTCTGCCCCAGGCGACATCAGAGATGTCTTAAACTTTTTCGTGGAGAAGTGGTTCTCTCCATCCTTCTCCCAGAAAACTTACAAGCAATGCATTCTTGTGGAAAAATCAGGCTAGATTCACACTAAACATACTTCCTCTTCTTTTCTGAACACATAGCAAGCTTACCCTTCTGAGAGCTCTTTGGAATAGAATGTATTGATTAGCATCCTGGCAAGTCAGCAAAAGTGCTATTGGCCAACACAAGGTCTGCCCTATAAAAATATTCCACACAAACTTTGTCTTTTTTATTGTCTTGGAAATGAACACAAAGGATTCAGTGGAGGGCCCCAAGGCCTCAGGAAAGTGATTCTAAAACAATCTGTGGCAGAAATCCCCCCACCCCTCTATCCCAATTTCTGCAGTTTCTAGAAAATCAGATTCCTTACATATATGACATAGAAATATGAACTTATCATGAAATTGCTTTAAAGCTCACGTATAAGTTCTGTATTTTATCTCGTGAACAGTAACAAATAGTTCATAGACTGGAATAAGAACATGGAGTACTTTTTCCTATGTAATACCATAGCCTCTGCTAGAAGGAGCTATGTCACTAATTATTTAAAGTAAAATTAAACTACATTTGCTTTGGAACAAAGATTGAAGTAAAATATTTGACAATATTATTACAAAGGGTGGAAAAGGGAGAGATCAAGCATACTGTTTTATTTTTATATGAAATGGTAGAATATTAGTTTAGATACTTGACAATATATTGAGTTTCACTTTGTAAATGTAACTTGGAGCTACACCTAACAAAATTAAACAGAGGTAAAACTAATATGTCAATAGTGAAGATGAAATGGAATTCTAAAACTTACACAATCCAACAGAAGGCAATAGAAAGAAGAGTGAACAGAAATGTAATGATTTGAAAACAAATAGAAAGTTGGTATGCTAAAAATCAGTGAGAATGAACTCAGAATACAAATGTTTAAGTCATCACAAAGTTAGAAGTTTTCAACTCACTGAAAGGAAACAAGGAATTTAAAACTGGATTCTTTGTACTTTAGTTGTTCTTTAATTTTTTGGACATTCTTTAGACTTCAACTTACAAGGGCAGAAACACTTAATTTTTTATTTTTAATTACCTTGAAATAACTTCTTTAGGACATTATTCTTTCCGGGTTTTATTTCTCTCTGGAAACTCAACAATTAAACATTTTAGATATTGTATTTTAAAACGTATCTCTATATTCTTGATATTACATAACTGGGGTATCTTGACGTCATGATTTAATCTAATTGTAGAACCTCTAGATAGTTCTATTGAATGGTATAAATGAACACAATTTAGAATGGAAAACAATATATAGAGATAATTTTCAAGCTTCATAATTAATGACTGTTCTATCATGTTTCAAAACCTTCCAGAAAGAAACAAATAGTGCATACCAGTAGCTCTCAGGAGGAGCTACACAAAAACAATAATAAATATTAAGGAAATGATTTTTCTAACTATGAGTACCTCCAAAAGCAGTTCTGAGAAAATAATTTAGGACAAACTAGTTGGTTTGGGTAGGAGCTAGTGAGATAGTGGGAAAATTGAGACAAAAGGAAAATAACAAAAATAACAACAAATAAAAGAAAAAAGGAAAATATTTATGCATTCCTGAGATTTATTCTTGAGATGTTATCACTATGGGCAAAAAAAAAAAAAAAGAAAAAAAAATGCTTCCCACCAGTTTAGTTGAGTCCCTGGGAGTTGAGGATTATTCCCAGGGGGCATTAATCCCTGGTACATCTAGGCTGTCTTGAACAAAACTGACAGATCTTTAGGAAGTGTGGCAGAGAAGACAGATTCTTGCACTAGGACGCTATTAGGGAACTTCCATCCTAGCTGAAGTAGCCCTGGGTGGGATGTGGAGCAAGTCATGAATATTGGCTTCCTCAGAGCATCAGAGGGAGAAGACTAAAATTATCCATGACAGATATCATCCCCTAGACTACCATGAACTTAATAGATTCAGTGAAAGTTAAAATAATAAAAAGCTGGAGAATATGAGGAAGTGATATATTCCTATTTGTCATCTTTCTATTTGTCAAATTTCATAAACTTAATCATTGGAATCTCCAGGAAGGTTTGCTAAAACACAGGTTGTCCTATCTACCTCATGCTCAGAGACTTTGAGAATTTTCATTTAAAACAAGTTGCTGGTCCTGCTTATTCAAGAACCACAGAGAAATCACTAAGCTGCAGTAAGGAAAAGCTTCTCACTCTCCCATCCAGTACGAGGAGAGTCCACAGCAAGAGGTGGAGAGTGAAGGAAAGAGATGGTCTTCCTGCTCTCTGTATCTTACTACTTACTGAAAGGTTTTATTGTCCTCTGCACTTTGATCATGCAGAAAGCTTAAGCATAGAAGGCTCAGAGTCTGGGCAGAGGATACTGTGCTGTCTGTGATAGATGAGGAAGTTCAATTTCATGATGCAAGAGAGAAACTTACTGTTGCCCTAGACTTCAGACACTTTACCTAAATTACTTTGTTAGTAATGAAGGTGATGTTTTGATGTTTCTATGTTTTGGCTTTTTGTTCAGGTATTGCTAAAATCTGAGGGAGAAAAATACGACTGTTTTATGTTTGGCTTTTTTGTTTAGGTATTTCCAAATTTGAGGGAGAAAAATAAAACTGTTCTCTATAGACATCCTATAAAACAAACATTATTATTCAGTTTTTAACATGAGTAGGAAAAAAACAATTTATTCTATATTATAGGTGAGGGTTTAAATAATTTGAATGGGAGAGCAGTAAGAACATACATATGGGTCTTTTGTGAAATACTGACAAGCTTTCTGCCCACAGGGTAGTATAAACAGTCAATGACTTTTAAATATTTCAAACATTCTATATCATAAGCTTGAGATCTAAAGACAATTTGCTTTATATAAAAAGAAAAAAAGTGTGAAATGAATCCCACTGGTACAAACTCCTTTGATTTATACACAATGTTTCTTCAAATAAGGATACAGAAGCACTTCCATATTTCAATAATCTAAGTTTATATTGTTAGAAGGAAACAGGGTTATTGATAGACCTTTATTTAGCTTGTACCCTGTGATATTAAATAAACTTTTCATTTCAAAACACTTAGGAATCCCAATATCTTGTGGTATTTTCAGGGATTGTCATGGTAATCAAATATATATTTTATTTCTATTATTAATTGACAAATTGTTAAGATAAACATTTTAAATCCCATATTAAAACCTGATTTTCTAAGGTCCTTTCAACCTTTTCTAAAAGGAAATGGAAAATAAGTTAAACTAGTTTTAGAGATTTATTGGGTCCATAAGTGTGCTACCTAATTTGCATCTTGTTGTATTTTCCAGTGTCACTCCTCATTCCCAGCTATTCTTTTGTTATTGTGCTATAACAACTGATTAATCCCAAGTTTGCTATACTTATTTATATACAACATATGTTTCAAGTTATTATGCCAAAAGCAAAACACCATAAAACCAAAGGAAAGGAAACTGATTTAAAAATAAAAACAAAAAGGCTTGGTATAGAAAATTAAATTTAGGGCTGCTGTTTTATAACTAATGTTAGCATTTCTAGATATTTTATTACAAAGAATCATTATTCTATTACTGTTTTGCAAAATGCGTTGGCATCCCAGAGATTTTATTGCAATAATGGCTAACTAGCCACCCATGATTTATTTCTCCCTTCCTTCTCATTAGTTGGACTTTTCTATTGTTGTTTGTTGCAATATACAAAGATCAAAGAAATATACTTTGTAATTATTTTGTATTTGGGGAGGCTCAATAAAAGTTTTCTGGGCTGGGGTTGTGGCTCAGTGGTAGAGTGTTTGCCTTATATGCACAAGGCCCTGGGTTTGATCCCCAGCACCAAAAAAAAAAAAAGAAAAAAAAAAAGGTTTTTGCTGGTGTGTTTATTAAAACTTCTTAAAAGAACTTTTTCATGTCAGGTTCTATTTTTTCCCTTCCTCCTTCTTCTTTTTCCTTTGTTGAGATGCATGCAGAATTTATGCAGCCTTTTTGAAAACACAGTATGCCACAGAGAGTAGAAACAAAGAGCTAATCATAGTACAAAACATTTTTGCTACTATGATACCATAGATACCATGCCAAAATCAACCTTTTTATACTTCATTTTATGTGTAAGAAAAACACACCTGTATCTTCTTTGAATTCCCATTATTTTGGATCTTTGTGACAAGAATCCTACATTTCAGCCTACAGATTCTCTTACAACACATTTTCTATTTGTTTTCTGGATTCTTCAAATAGTTTAAACATTAAAAATTGTCCTTGAGAGGTACTTATTGTTTTCCCATCTTGATACAAATACAGTAGAAGTTTTTGACCAATAATGGTTGTATTTGATAAATCAATATATTTCTCCTATTGGCTAAATGTAAAACTGATACAATAAATTTAAAAGAAAAGTTAGGCTGTCCAAACATTTAGGAAACTTTAATGGGGCATAAATTTCTCTATGTAGACCAAACCCTCTATGTAGACTAGAGCATTTATTATGAACAGAAATTGCCAGATGCCTTGAGACAATTATTTGAATGAAGGTATTGCATATTTTTCTAATACCTAATTCTAGTAATATTTGACCAATTTGTGAATTCTAGTTAATTGTTCACTTCAAATCACATTCCTCATGGCCTCATATGTCCTTACCTGCCACTAATTCTATGGTCTACCAGTGTAATCATTGCCTTGTTACCTGCTTACCTTACTCCTGTCTCTCTCCTAATTATTAACCTAACAAACAACAATGTTTATTAACCCTTTTTCCTCTGACTGAACTTCATAGTCAAGTGTAATAGAAGGAAAACAAACTAATGTGTACCACCTCATATTACATCCAAGCTATGTCCAATGTACCAGTGACACATTGCTATTTCCATTACCCTTCTCTGCAAGATAATGGTTTTTCATTACTTCCTCTCCTCAAACCACTTCATTCTTACAATTTCTTCATTTTGATGTATTGTTATTCCTCATGTTACTAGAAAAAAAATAATCCAAGCAATGAAAAGAGGATTTCCTCATGCTTCCACACCACACATCTCTTTGGAAATAGTCTTTCTCCCTGTTTCTATAGATGATTCATCTTCCAAAGACCAGTCCCTCCATTTGTGTATTAGATCATGTCCACTTTTTAATGAAAGTGATTTATTGCTGTAATTATCCCTTTTCATCTATACTGGAGTATTCACAGCATCATTAAAAGATTCTAATTTTTATAAAATTCCTACCCTTGATCCCACACACTCTCCAGCTTTTGCAGTTATCTGTTCTATTTTAGCCAACATTCATTCTCCTTTGCAGTTGTCAATATAATGTTCTTTATGTTTTTTACCTTCCATTCTCAAAATGGAACTAAATTCTCTTGAATTTATTCTAAAATCTTATCCACAATATGTGACAAAAAGTTGTTTTACAAAAGCTAGTAATTACAATTTCTCAAATTTAATACTTAAATTATATTTTATCATATTATATTATATTCCTCATCTTGCTTACCCTCTTAGCAATGTCATTGTTCGTATCTCCAAACCCCATCTATTCATGTAATACCTGATACTAAGGAATTCAGAGTAGTTTAAATGCAGTAGAATGTAACACAAAGAGACTGCTGTTTTTCCTTGTAAGATACTGGTTTAGAGATAGGTTCCTAGGAAAGGGGTATCCTTAGAGTTTACACAAACCATCCCTGCTAATACTAAATTCCTCCTAATTAATTCATATTGCTGAGGCTGATGGAGGGGGGCACCGTGTCTGAGATCTCATTCCTGAATTCCATCTTCAGAAAAACATGACATCAGAGAGTAAACAGTTCATTCACAGGAGGGGATGGAATAAGAAGCTCTATTTCCCCAATGCTTCTCAGCATACATTTTGAAACATGAAAGCCTGAAATTTGGCAGAAAGTCTCCTTCCTGAGTTTCCCAGGTAGAGCTGGCATATAAGTGAGTTATGGAAGTAATCTGCATCAGACATGAATGAGGAGCAGAAACTCCTGAAGAGCAACCACTTAGGATGATTTTCATACTCTCCATGCATGACAATTGCCTGGGAAACTTGTTAAAATGCAGATTTCAAATGAAACTTCACATAGCACTGGTGAAACATAGGTCTTGAATTTTTGATAATTTTCTCAGATGAATCTGATGCAGGTGGCACATGAACTACATACTTCTAAAAAAAAAAAAACTACCAAGTACTTAGACTGAAAGAACTACCACTGGTAATGAAATTAAGAGATAAATGAATTACCTGTTAGCAAAAATATTAAGAATTTCTCCTTGAATTAAAAAATAAAAATAAAAAGGGGCTGGCTGGAGCTGAAGCTCAGGGGTAGAATGCTTGCCTTGTATGTGTGAGGCACTGGGTTCTATCCTCTGCACCACATTAATAAATTAATAAATAAATAAATTAAATACAGGTATAAAAAATTCAGGCCACTGAATTTGTCAAATAGGCAAGAAGTCAATAAACAATAGCACAAAAAGGAAAATAGAGGCCAGTCATGCATTAATAATTTCCCCATGGATGTAGTATGTACACAGGAAGCATCCCCAATAAACTGAGCAGGTACGATTGCTACGTATGAATGTCTAACGCCAAATATCTGCGGTCAATTGTATGCAGTAAGATCTTTTCATTTTTGCTGCTTTCTTCATTGGTTTCATTGGAAATTAGATTAAAAGCTTGGAACCATATCTAGTTACCAACTGTGTTTGCACCTAAAAACAAACCCTAGACCTGCATCTGGTCTGTTGAATGTCAACAATTGTCAGACCAGACTCCCAATACTTTCAAGTTTTTCACAACTGTCTTAATTAATTTTGGGGATATAAATTTTCCATTACAGGATACTCATTCTAAGTCTTCTTTTCTCTACTTTGACTCTCATATCCACAGCTCCTTCCTCTGACCTCACATCCATTTATAGTCATTCTTAAGGTGATCTTATCAAGCTCAGATACTTGGCTTCACATACAATTTATACACAGTGATCAGTGATATTATCTAAATATACAACTTTGGGCTGTCACTCTCCTCAATTAAATACTTGACTTTTCCATCAATAATTTCATTTAAATTAACATGCTGAAAATTAATCTCACCAGGCCCTAAATAAGTTTCTTCTTCATTTCAGTAAATATGACAGCCAGTCATTTAACTTAATGCTTGTTTCAAAATTCCTTGGGCTAATTCTTTAACTCTCTTTTTCTCCCTCTCAAATGCTATCACTCAGTGATAGTGTCAGGTCTATTTTCAAAATACATTCTAAGTTTCATCATTTCCATATAACTCCATCATTAACAGTATATTATAAACCACCTGCATTTCTTGTCAGATGACTAAAATAGCTCTTTTTAATTTATTCATTTATTTTAAAACAAGACAGAACGTTCCACTTGATACATTTACTCTTAGGATGGAAATTCAAATATGTAGCTAAGTCTACAGGGTTACATGTAAACTGACTCCAGGTTACCTTCTTAATTCATTTCAATCACACTAGCCATCTTCCTGTTCTTACAAAAAAGATGACTAAAATTCTATATCCATTTTATACATCACAGAACATATTAACATTATGTAATGATAAATTATAAAATGAAAAAGTGTTTATTAATAAAATACATGCAACCCTATACTCAAGTTTGAATTAAAACAGGCTTTTTCAATATCTCAAATGTATATTCAACTGACTATTGATATAATAACCTGAAAAAGTAATTTAAAATTTCAATGCTTTTGTTTTCCAGGTAAATTGAGTTACTTTATAACATTTTATGGTGACAAAATAAGAACTGATAGTATTTATTGATTTGTGAATTTTTTTAATTTAAAAAGATTTTACATTAATGCTAAGTCTCAAAACAAAAATTAGCAAATTGGCAAAATTTTAAAAATTGAAGCCTTACATGCCTAGTCAACTGTAGTTTTAACAATGGTAACTTCACCTCCTGAATATATCCCTCATTTCTCTAAGGCTTTTTTTTTTTAATTTTTTTTTCTTTCTTCTCCCCCTCTCACTCCCTAACAAGATTGGGGAGACACTGTTATCTTTTGTTCTTCCAATTAATTGCCCTTGAACACACCCACTGTAGGGAGGAGATGGCTGCTGAGGATCAAGGAAATGAATATCTCCCAAATTAATAAGTGAATCCTAACATGCCATCAGGGTGCCCTGGGACTCCCTGCCAGAGCACACCTGGAATATAATAACCCTTTAAGTTCCTTTAAAAGACCCTTGTCCCTCCTGATCAGAAGAGTCACAGACTTTGGGACAGGAGTCCCTGGTGTTTCTCCTTTACTAGCAAAGCAATAAACCTTCCTTTTTCTTTTTCTCAAAACCATGTCCTCATTATTAAATTGGCACTGATTGACATTGGGGACAGGGACCGAGCTTTCAGTTTCATGATGATATTTGAATATTAAATGAAGCTAAAAAATGATTACAGCAGCACACACTTCTCTTACCATTCACTTGGAAAATGTGAGTCTGATAGACATGTTCATAGCCATCAGCGTAGCAGGTATAATTGCCCATGTGAGTTGTGGTAACCTTAGTAATATACAAGGACCCATCATCTCCAAAGTCCTATAGAAAAAAAATATAATATAAAATAAGATGTTTTTATTTTAACAACTTCACGGTTTTTGAAAGGTGTAGTATTAAGCAAAGTAGATAGACTAAAATATTATTTTAAAATTATCAAAATTGTTATTATGAATGTGGAGGACCTTGGTTTAACAGTTGCATAAGGTATATTTTGTATAAAAAGTGTTATCTCACTCGTAAATATAGCTTTCCCATATTTATTTTAGGTATAAGAGTTCAATAAATAACTTAGCTCCCA